GGTGAAACCGATAATGGTGAAGCCTCCAATTAAATTTTCGGATTTCTCTAAAAAATTGAGGGCTGAAACTAATTTAGACTTTGCAGCTAAAGTTACTGGCGAGTTTTTAAAAGTTTTTCCGAAAACGGAAAATGATCACCGTCAGATAACAAAATATTTGGATGAAAAAAGTGTAGATCATTATTTAATTACCAGAAAGATGGATAGGCCCATCAAAATAGTTATAAGAGGTTTACCTATCGATTGCCCCTCAGATGACATTTTTGAGGAGCTGGTTAATTTAAAGTATAAACCTCGAAAAGTTACCCAAATGCACAGAACCAAATCTAAGGCTCCTATGCCTTTGTTTCAGGTTCATTTAGAGAATGTACCAGGGGTGCAATCTATTTATGATGTTAAAAAAACTGCTATCTTTGTTGAAATACATCCTTATAAAGTGCGTGGAAATGTTGTGTCACAACTGCCAACACTTCCACCACAGTAGTGAAAATTGCAAACTACAACCAAGATGTGTGAAATGTGCGGGTGCACATCGTACTGATAAATGTAATGTTAAAAAATTAGACTCTCCTATTTGTTGTAATTGCCTGCAAGAAGGACACACCGCCAATTATCGCGGATGTCCGAAATTCCCCCGACGCATAGTCGGTAAAAATAAAACTGTGAATAAGCTAGTGCAAACTCAAAAAAAATGTTAATGTTGATATTAAAAATGCTATGCCTATGTACTTTTCTCAAAGAATGTTTTTAAAGGCACCAAGTTATGAATGTTTTTAAAAATTCTGCCTGTTTTGCTTCAATCTAATGATGTTTTTGCAAATGTTCCTAAGTTATTTTGCTTAAGTAAGTAATTGCCACAGGCAAGTGCACGCTTCCCAAACTGCATCTGCTATCACGTGAACATTCACAGCCGTACAGGCCACACACTACACACACTCCATACACTTTTGTCTCCACCTACATTCCTCCCATGAGACCTGTGGCTGTCGTTCAGGCAGACCTTGAAATTCTACTCACACTTGGTACACATGTTATTATTGGTGGAGACTTGAACGCAAGACACCGCGCATGGAACTGCTACACTTCTAATGCAACAGGCAGACTGATTTATTCCTTGGCCGCGTCGGCACGGTTTAAATTGGCAGTTCCAAGTACCCCAACACGGTATGCTGCTGGGTCCACCGCAATTATTGATTTTTTCCTGTTGCGGAACACCAGTTCTCCACTGGATATTTCCGTACTGGACGAACTTTCAAGTGATCACAATCCTGTTAGGATTATTCTGGACCTCAGCAGATATACTACATCAGACACCAGGGCCTTTCGTACAGACTGGCAGGTCTTTGCCAAAGCCCTCTCCAACACCCAGTACACTTTACCCACGATACACAAGGGGAGTGACATTGATAGTTTGGTCAAGGACCTCACTGAAAATATACAAAATGCTTATGCGAAAGCACAAGTTGAAGTTAAACCTGGTATGAAACACAAGCCTCAAGAGCTCAGATTATTGATTAAAGAGAGAAATGCTGCAAGACGAGCGTATCAACGTACCAGACACCGTGATGATAAAAGGAACTTCAATCGCCTGTGCGAAGCGGTCAAGTTTCTTACAAATAAACTCTCACAAGATCGCGCTGGACTAACTACCTCAGATCTCTTTCTGCAGAGGATAACTCCTTATGGAAAGCAGTGAAGAGGTACAAAAAATGCTATAACGCCATTCCGCCCCTTCACGGCCCTCAACGGATCCATTACACCGGAACTGAGAAAGCAGAACTTTTAGCTCAGCATCTGGAATCTCAGTTCTGCATTAACAACATTTCAGACTCAGACACTGAACAGCTTATTGCTGACTTCCACTCCAATTTTACAACACAGCCATGCACAGACAACATTATCTCAGCCATGCCATCGGAGGTCTGTCTCTATATCATGCGAATTGCGAAAAGGAAGAGCCCTGGAGTAGACGGGGTCACAAATGAGATGATCAAGCACTTCCCTGTCAAGATAATACTCTACTTCACCAAGTTAGTGAATATCATACTACGATGGCAATACTTCCCAACTTGTTGGAAAACTGCCAAGATTGTCCCTCTGCTAAAGCCCAACAAGCCTACGACTGCTCCTGAGAGTTACCAACCAATCAGTTTGTTAAGCTCAATTAGCAAAATCATGAAAGCAGTTATTCTCCACAGACTAAACATCTTCCTGGATGAGCAGAAGATCCTCATACCCTATCACTTTGGGTTCAGGCGGAAGCACTCGACAACACATCAACATCGTGTCACTGGTGGACTTCTCTTAGATGTCGCCAAGGCCTTCAATAGAATATGGCTGGATGCCCTCATATACAAATTACACAACCTGGGACTCCCAGGCTACATCATAATTAAATCCTACCTAACCGGTAGACACTTTGTCGTTCATGTTTCTGGTTCCACAAACCGGCCTATACGGGCTGGTGTTCCACAGGGATCCCTTCTGGGCCCTACCCTATTCAATATTTACGTGAACGACATCCCCACTACACACAACACAACACTAGCCATGTATGCAGACGACACAGCGATCCTTACGCAAAGTGCATTTGTTAGTTCAGCAATACAACAGCTACAACACCACATCCACTCGCTAGAGACTTGGCTGACCAAATGGAAAGTCAAAGTGAATGTCGACAAGACACATGCCATACTGTTTACTACTAAGAAGAATTTCCCGACTCACCTGCAAATGTATGGTGTGGACATTCCCTGGGTCAAGCAGGTCCCTTATCTTGGGGTGATCCTCAGTAAATCTCTTACATGGAACCCACACGTTACACATATTCTCAGGAAGTTTCGAGCTAGTAAAGCTTCACTCTTCCCCTTAATTGCTCGAAACAGTGTTCTATCTATTGATAATAAGTTGCTCATTTACAAAACCATGTTGCGTCCAATTCTTAGTTATGCATGCCCCGTCTGGGCATACTCGTGCAAAAGTTTGAGAAGGCAGTTACAAGCTGCCCAAAACGGGGTATTGCGTATGATATGTAATGCCCCCTGGTACATTCGGAATAGCCAAATTCGTAAAGAGTTAAGAATAGAGGATCTTTGTGATTTTTATTGCCGCCTATCTAGGGCATTTTATGATAAACAGGAACTTCTGGACAATCCTGTGGTTGTTAACTATTGTTATGATACTAGGGACCCCAATTTCAGTAAACGCCCAAGGGCGATCCTAAATGTTAGTAATGTGTAATTTTGTATATGTGTTATGCAAATTGTTGCTCAGATTCTTTATTGTATATTGTTCTTTTTTCCTCCTGATTGCTTTTTGTTTTTACTAGTGGCACTAAGGCGTCGCACTTCGTATTTTGTTTCTCTTGTGTGTACATGTATTCTTCTGTGAAATAGTTGTTAAAAAAATAGTTAATTATGTATGGATTAGTAATTAGGTACTTAAGGAAAAAAATATGTATTTAACTATTAGCAATTATGAATTTAAACTCTTGCTCATTTAATTATTTAGCACATTCAGTTATATTTCTCATAATTCGAAACTTTTATCATGTTATTCGATGAGGGGTAGGGCTATGGCACCCAGGCGGTTAAGCACCGCAGTTCAATGTTCTGTAACGTCTCCTTTTTTCAAAGGACGCATTAAAAACCTTGAAATTAAAAGAAATTTCGATTTTCAAATATATTAAATTGTAAGCTAACAGTAGCATCAGAAAAAAAAAACACAAATCAAGCTTGGATATAAAAAAAAGGGGCTTGACATTAAATTTATGCAGATTCTTTCTCAAATTTACTAAATACTTAGACCTGAATGCAAAAAATTTATCAAAGATAACATGCATTATCTTAATGTTACATTATATATTAGCTTATATGGAGTTAAAAAATCATTTCAAGATAGACTTATGCCATAAAATAAAGTCTTCCATGTTATCAAGAACAGCAAACAAAAGTATCAAATACCTTAGGTTAATAAAAAAACAGTAAGAAACTTTTTTCAGATTAGCAAGAATTATCAATAGGTTATGATATAATGACTACCACAAATTCCTACAATGGTTTAAATCATTTAAGTTTTGCCCTCTAGGAATTTAGCCCCCTTATTCTACAAATTGTTGCAAAAAACTGCCATGTCCAACTACAGCTATTTATGAGTTACCAAACCTTTCAGTGATCAGATATTTACTGTTTTCATTTCTTTTCAACAGTCTAACATGCTTAAAACATCATTTCAAAGGTTTGGTATTCAGGTTTTATAATTAACTGAGATCTTTATTCCGAAGTCTAGCATTTTAATTACAGAAGAAATCATCACTGATCAGACATTTGTTATTTTCATAGGATTTCAACAGTCTAACATGCTTTAAAACATCACATCAGTTCAGACCTTATCCTGCAGTTGCCCAATGTGAAAGGGAAATTGAGCTATACTTAAATCTCACATTGTCCCTTTATTCAACCGTAAAAAATTGCATTAGGATATTATCCGTAATAACGGGTTGGCATAATACTAGAAAATATCTCTCTCAGAATTCATATACGCTAAATGATTAACGTGCTGATCACAAACCAATAAAACTGACTGAAAATCTAGAACACTCCGCTAGATTAAGGTATCAACTTAGGCCTGTTTCTCCGTTTCCAGAACGGTTACGTACACGTGTCACACAATATTTCACCTAGAATTCTACTTAATTAAAAAAAAAGTTTAATAATTAAGTTACTAACTATATTTCAAAACTTTACTCTTTGCCATATACAGTTTCGATGTGTAATTATTTATTTAAATTCATTTAATAGTGATACACCTAGATTAAAAATTAAGCCTAATTTTAGTTAACACTCAGTTACACTTTATTACACTCTCAGAATTATTACACATTTAAATTTAAATAATGTTTACATAACAATTAAAATTTAACTTCATATGACTAAAACATACGCGGAAAAGACGCCAACCAAAAATTACAAAATGGCGGAGTACCCTATCGTTTCGCATACCTTTATACTGCTGATCAACTGTAATTTGTTTGGATGCATGCTGAACTTGCAATAATAATTTCACACGTTCAATAGGTGCTACAGCTGTTTTAGAGACGGCAGCAGCTACACCACCAGCAATGAAATCCTTAGCGAAGGAAATTGGATCAAGTGCTGACGTTGACACAGACATTGCTCTACAACTGCCGGTCCTGGGAAAGAAAGGATCTTCGCTTACCGGCGGAAGCGCTTATAAAACATCGGTTCACCTAAGAAAGGATTCCGCCAAAATATAATAACCCTAAAGATGACGTCAAAGCTTAATGTGAATGTTATTTATAAATTTTGAAAAAACTTAAACCGCAGTGTATTAGTATTTTTAATTTCAAAGTATTTCTTAGTTTTTTGTTTAATATTTTCTTTCTTATTTTGTAACCTGATTTTTTTTTTTTTAACGCCTAGTAAGGAAGTTGAAATTTCCGAAAAGCATTACAGCTGAAAATCTTTTTGATGTAACAATAAATGTAAATACAGTTGCAAAAAAATATTTAAAAAAATTGTGAACGTCAATTTATTAAAAGCATTAAAAGCTGATCATTCATTATTTAAATGAGTAGATTTTAGTGTCACAGTGTTGAATGAATAATTTCACAATCATAATTATTTATTATCAAAATAAACTGGTTCTGCTATAACAGAAGTAAATTCTGTTATGTCAGAACTAGTTTATTTTGATTCTTTTCCGTAACTTTTCAAAACATATTCCATAAACACAGATCTGGTGTTTTAATTATTATAATTTAATTATTAAAATGTATGGTTTCAAGGTTTTTTTTTTTTTTTTTTTTTTTTTTTCTGTCGCTTTAGAACAGTTTGCCAATGTTAAATCTTTTTCAATTGAATCAGTGCTAAAGTATGCCTTTCAGTGATGATCTTGTGTCTTTCAATATTACTTTTCCTGTGGCAGCTACTACTTTTTCTTAGTTACAATTAACTTCATTTAAATTTTATGTGAGGAAAAATTGTTGAAACAACAACTATATCTGTTCACAATTTTGTTCAGCATGCATTAGATTAATATTTGTATTTTGTTATATTATTTTATTGGAAATAAATTATTGTGTAATAATCAAATCAATTATATATGCAAGATATGTCTTGAACTTTGATAACTGGTAAAATTCAATATTCCTTGCACAATAATATCAAATGCAAGAATTTAGGACATGAGTTATTAACCTATTCAAATAAAATAACTTTTAACTGAAACTTGCTGAAAACAAATGCTGAATTTTCCTAGTTAAATAAAAACCACAGATTAATAAACATATTGTTATGTACTTAGGAATACATATAGCTTACACAAGAAAGTTACATAAGTGCATTAAATATTTAAAAAAAAGCATGCTTAAGTATATGTGTGTATCCCTGCTAAAAGATGGACATATTAGCTGCAACTATAAAATAATAATAATAATGTGTAAAGATCTGATAATCACAGTATTAAATAAGGCTTTTATCAACCTTTTTAAGAAATTGTTTTATATTACACATAGAGGAAATTTTAAAATATTTCCATTCAAATATTTTCCTGAGGGTACTAGACATCATAAAGGTGGCAGTGAATCTAGGTTTCAAAGGAGCAGCAGTACTAGCAATAATAATTCATATGAGATTTGACATAATTTACCCAATACCTTCTATTGCATATAAAATAGCATTATGCTTTATATTTATCTTCCACATTTCATTCCTATCATCAAATTTGATAAAAAGATGCTTTAGTTCTTATTCTCAGCTTTGATAAAACAAAGAAATTGCCCCAAAATCTTTGAAATGTGGTAATATGTAACATATGCTAATAAATCTTGAACCTAATACTGATATTTTGTTAATTTTTCACCAAGCTTATTCATATAGTTGATTAAATATGTAAATATTATTGCTACTATTGTAATACTAATGTGTATATATAATTTTTATGAAGTTAATAAATGTTAAATAAATTGATTTTTAAAATATATTAATTAAATATTATAATATTTGAATAACTGCTATTGAAATTAAATAGATAATATTAATAAAATAATAAATGTTTATGTATTTCAAATAACGAGACAATGACTAAAAAAGTTTATGACTGATATACAGCTTATGTAGCTTTTCTTTTAAATCTCTCAATGAGTTCATAGTTGTCTTCTTGATATTTGTACATTCTGTTATCCAAAAATATATAATTTATTAAATGCAGAACAGTAATATTTTTTTATTCTGATTAAATAAACCTTTTTCTGCTTATTATCATGGATTGAGTTGATCTAATTTAGTTCAATTTCTGTGCATTATCACAGTTTTGGGCAATAGATAATTATATTACAAAGTGTTAAAATCTTATTTCTCAGAATCTTATTTTGTTACGCTTTTTTGGGGGAGGGAAAGATATATATGTATGGATATAGCAATATAAATTTTTTAAAAAATATTGGTAAAGAATGACATGCCAGTTAAAATTAACAGAATAAAAGATACAAAATTAACACTATGAACCTTCTTATTGAATATCAGCTGAGATATTTAAATATGCAAAGGACTTAACAGTAGTTTATATTTACATTAGATACTTTTATACTCATATTTATTTACATTAGATACTCATATTTACATTAGATTTGAAAATACAAGATAGCTAAAGTCAATCTTTGACATAAAATTCGAGACAAACTAAAAGTATGTTAGCCTTTGCCATATGTGACTCTATCGTAAATCTTACTGATTTCTGTCATTTGAGTTTTGCATTGCTATGTATGTTTTTATTTCTCGTAAACACATATATATGCATTATTAAACAGACCTAGCTCTATCAAACATTTATTTGTGCTAACATATAACTTTTTTTTTTTTTTTTTTTGTTGGTGGGAGAGAGAGATTTAATTGTAAAATGCCCATTAAAAGTATTAGGCTACAGTTTTAAGGAAAGTTGTGAAACTTTTACTAGCATTTTTAAAATTACAAGGTTTTGCAAAAGATCATATTTACTGACTTTTCCAAATATTAATATTTAAATTGAGATGAGTCTGGTAAAGCCATTAAGATTTTATCTAATTCATACTATTCCTTTGCAAAGTTTATGTGTGAATATTTTTTATGAGATAAATAAATGTGAAGAGAAAAAAAAAATCTCACAGCAAATGTTACTTAGGTGCAGGCATGCAAGTTTGAATTCAGTAGTTGATAAAATTATATTGCTAATTAAAAACCTTAAAAATTGAGTGCATTTAATAATGCAATGAGACAATGGATCAACTTTTCCTTCTTTATGCCAAGCAGCAGATTACTGTTGTCATGCAAGTTCCTATATGTATATAAGTGTGTATAAGTAACTATTGATTATTCCTATATGTATAAGTAACTTTTGATTAATTAATCAGTGCTCATAATTTTAAGCTTGATTAATTAATCAATGCTAAGCTATATTTCACCATTATATACATATTTTTATGCTTTACTACATGAAATTAAATGTTTATTACACATTAGAGGAGTGAAAATCCTTCCCATAATAAACATAGAAAAGCAATAACTAACAATGCTATTTGTTATACATTTTTATAGAAATATTTAGGTTTCTCATTGAAAAAATACAAAGTGTATTGTTTCATTTCAAATACCATTATGAAAACATGAACGTAAGCTTTATTAATGATATTGTTTTCCAGTTACATTAGCAAAAATAAAAAAAGATTTTTACTCTGATCACGATATTTGTGACTACTTTTCAAATGAGTTCTTTATTAACAATGAAAATAAGTGACACTCAATGCAAAGTATTTCTCTGCATTTTCAAGGTTTTTCTAGTTTAATAGTTTAAAGAACGTGTAACAATCAACGTTTTTGATTTGTATGAGTTTAAGCAAAATGTTTACTTTTAGAGTTCCACAGCAAAAAATGAACATGTGCAAAGTACATATTATTAATAAATGCATGCAAAAAAAAAAAAAAAAAAACACTTCTAGCAACGAAGAAAATATATTATTTTACTTGGACATAACCTAACTTAAACCTAATGAAAATTCAAAGACCGGAAACAGGAATAGAAAGGCGAGTAATTGCCAAATAAGATAACCTTCAGAAACGTGCGAATTTTACTGTTGCCGAATCACTCGTTAAAAACCTGGCGTTACTCATGTTAAAGTGCTGAAGCGACAATATAAAAAGTACAAATTTTTACATTTTAATTCTTAAAAAATGTCATAATCGAAGCTAGTGATCTTCAAGTAAAATAAATTAATAATTTTACAGCCCAATAAGATGAAATGACATCATTTCGTATAAACGATTACTTTTATTTTTGCATCTTGTGATTTATAATTTCACTCACGCTGTATTTGTCAGTGGAGGGAAGGGTTAAATTTTCCCTTCTACTATTTAAATTTTTTACTTCATAAAACTTAATTCTCACAAAATTGCTCTGAAAAAAAAGGATTAGTTAAGTGAAAATTTAGAAAACGTAGCGGATGATAGCTAAGCATGGATTTCTGCTCGGATGACACATATGTGTAATTTCATTACTTTTTATTTTTTACAGTGTGGTTTCTGCAGCAAGAGTGAACATAAGCCGGCTTGTGGGCCGAATACGGCTTTGCTGATAGCTTAATCTGGTTCGTTATGAAATCCTAAGCAACAACACGTTCATCTCTTTCCTACCTAATTTTGTATACAAACTATCGAAGTTAGTAGCACGAGTGAGCATCTTTTGTTACATTATATATGCGCACATGACTATACTATCGATCAACCTAAGCTGAGATCACTAAAAGCATCTGCCGAATTTCTCTTGAAGCTTGACTAACGCGTGTTTCTGGCTATGAGACTTTACAGCCAGAGCCGTATCGTCGGCATAGCATCCGAGGTATGAATTGAGATCCGTATACATGTTAGGGAAATCTGAGACATAGAAGAGATATAAGATGGGATCAAGAATAGACCCTTGGGCTACTCCGACGTTAAGACGTTTCGCTTCAGAGTACTCATTGCCGAAATTAACAAAGAACTTGCGATTTCTTATGAAAGAGTTGATCAATAAAATCATACGAGGGCCATCCAGGAAGTAGATTACTTTCTGGATAGCCCTCGTATGTCTGCTGAAGTCTTGCGATATGAGCTTGTAGATGAGCCTCTCATGCCAGACGCGGTCGAATGCCTTCGCCACGTCCAGCATGAGTAAGGC